TATTATTATTATTATTATTATTATGTGCAGTTTATTGAAACTTACGTATGCAAATCTATAATAAACTGCACATAATAATAATAAATGATAACTTCATTTAACGTGGAAAGTACACTATTATTATTATTATTATTATTATTATTATTATTATTATTATTATCGTAGGATCAAAAATATATTCGGAAGGTGAAGGCAATTCTGTTGACCCATGGCAGTTCTTCCTGTATGGGTTCGGTGTGATGACTGTACTGGCTGTAATCTTTGTGCTGATAGCACTCATAAAAATAAAGGTATATTAATACTAGACCTAACTCGTGCAATGGTTTCTCAATAGATCCCTTGCAAGTGACGTCAAAGGAACTCCATTTGGAGAACAATAAACACTGAGTTAAATTGTTCTGGAGGGGCAAAGCAATGGATTTTGTTTGCATAAGAAAAGACGGCCTATTGTTTTGTCCCTCAGAACAATTCCTCTAGGAAATCAATGCAAGGGTTTATACAAAAGAATTTCAATCTCCTGAGCATTGGAAACCTATTGCCTTGTCCTTTAAATTGAGCTGCATTCCGAAGTGCTGCAAGGGGTCTATATACACCATGTATAATTCTCTAGAGTATTACTTCTTTGTTTAACGGTTGCACATGAAGACCCATGAATATAGATACAACTCAAACAAGCAATCTTATTCGCAAGAGAATGACACGTGTTCTGAAATGGGTAAACATTGCAACAAGACGAATTCGAACTACTTATATTTCTACGTAAGGTAGCGCGAAAAGAGGTCTCGAAGGTATCCTTGGGTGCTCAACATTTAAACCAATCCACCCTGTTAGAAATTGATTTGCTAATTGTGAAGAAAAGAGCGGGAAGGTTTGACATTCAAAATTTGTACACGCATCTACCGGAAAAACCGAAAAGAGCGGGAAAAGTGGATTACTTTAATCGGAACACCGAGTTTTAAGGAACTATAAATCCGATGGGAGTAGTACATACCATTTGCTTTCCCTCCGAAATTTCCGGGTTTTGTCTCCGTCTGTTTTTAATGGTTAGCAGCCTTGATAACTTAAATTCCATACCAACCTTACTATATTGATCAGTGATTCTTGTGTATTTTGTCAAACAGCTTGTGCCAAACACCCAGGACGAGCCAAATAAAGAGGATGACGATTATGGTTTTGAGTTGAAATTTAATTTTCCCGGGAAAGAAAGAAAAACAGAGCTGGAGAACAACAACAAAGTCGAGAAGGAGGTAAGGGAAAGGCACTGTCATGTTGCATGTTGCATGTTGCATGTTGCATGTTGCATGTTGCATGTTGCATGTTGCATGTTGCATACTAAGCTTGAAATTTATCATATTCATATGTAAATAAACTAGAAAGTAGCACAGAAGAAAATGTACATGCAAAACGTGCAGACACTTGAAAAATTTCTTATCTTTGCGAACTTTTCTTGATGATATTCACATCACCCATAGTGCAGTTTGGGTTTTTATATGCAACATGCAACAAAACCTTCACAAACCTTTTTTCTTCGGGGGAGGGGGGGTGGGGTTGACTTTTTTTCGGCCTTTCAGATATCTGTGTGTTTAAATACCTTGTCGTCTCTAGTGCGACTATTCCTGATATATAAAGCAAGACTGATTTTCTATTTTACTTTGTATTTTCAGGACGATGGTCGTAAAGCGTTTTACTATTGACCTCGAGTTCAAGAGCACTGCCCAGGAGCTATATAACGAGCGTTCATTGTTTGTAGGAAGTGAGCGTATTTTCTTAGATTGATTCTTCTAGTGTAAAATAGATTGTCCCAAAAACATGTACATTTTATTCAATTAAGAGACTATGAAGGACATAGAAGTACTCCTTGGGATATCAGAATTCTCCAAAAGATATATATATATATATATATTAGTGCTTTTTTTTCTAAATTAGTTTTACTTTACATTATCTATCATGAAAAACAAATGATTTATATTCAAGGAAATGAMTAGAGGCTAAAGGAACCGTAAGGTTTTCAAAGTTAGACCATAGGCAATGTAAGTTATAATTTTATTCAGTAGCTTCAAGCAGCAACACAAAATTAATAGCAGCACAAGAACGGGAGGTGACAGATGTGCCACAACAAAGCGACAAAACATCACAAGAACGAGAAATGAAGAGGAAGACGAATATTGAAAGTGAATTAATTTAGTTTTTTTTTCACAGGACAAATTTTGTTTGGTCAAAAGATATATTGTTGAACCCTTTTTTTAAAGCAGTAGACATTTGTTTGAATTCAGAGGGTAGTTCTTGCCAAAAAAATTGTTGCTATTGAAGAAACGTAGGGTCATTTGAAGCAATATGGCGGCCAATGTTGTAATGAAAACTAAGTTTGTAACTAGAAAATCTATTTAATAACGTGTAGGAAGATGCTATTTTAATGGATATCCAAAGGAAATAGGTCATTGTTGATAAATTACAATTAATTAGCGATAATAAAATGTCAAGTTTCCATTGAAAAAAATTGCCCATTCATTGCTCTTTTCGGTCTTTTTCCTCTCTTTCTAAAGCAAAAGGTTGTTCTTAAAGTAAAGTTATATAGCACAAGTAAACTGCGTGACAAAACATCCTAAATGACCCTGTAAGTCTTCTGTTCTTCGCGAACTACTGTAGTTAGCGTGTTTTCGAGGCTACGAAACCTAAGAAACCATAAGAGGCGAAGTATGAGCTTATAAAATCAGCAAAAACACGGTTCTAAATTTTAAGAAACTCCTAATATATATATTTAGGCACTACCTGAAAGCGGAGCTCCCGATACGGAAGTCACAGGGAGAACAATTTGAATGAAACTGAAAGGTAAAAATAAGATCGGGGAAAAAATCTTCAATTATTTTTTATTCGAAATGATGATAATTTCTCCCATAATAAAAACCATGCAGTGAAATCGAATCGAAATGCACTACATCGTTTTTTGTTTTTTGTTTTTTTTGCGCGAGTATACTCTCCCACTTAGGAATTTTGTACACAACTTACTACCACCCCCAGGGGCTAGTTTTGTTCTTGGAATATTCTTCGACAGTTTCCAAGGCCGACAGTTTTAGGCTTTGATTCTCTTTTACTTAAAGAAAAACGAAAGCTAACTATAGATAATCCAATACAATATCAAGTTTAGTGAAATTTACCTCGGATGTCTTTCATTGAAATCGAAAATCTGGAGATTTAGGACAAATCAAGACCAAAAAACAGACTTGAAAACTGGTTAAGGTGAGCAAAGAATGAGGTGTACTTAATTAGGTATTTTACAGTTTTCCAAAAACAAAGCTTGCATTCATTTGAACTTGACAAGAACAACTGAGACAAAATAGAAAATAATGCAAAAGGCAATGCAAATAACGAAATGACTCATTTCTTTGGCAGTAAATTGGCGTTTGTAAATGTTTTTGAATATTTTTTAGCTTTTTAGAGTGAAAGTCTAGTAGGTCTTTATACAATAACATCTTTCAACAACATAAATTTAAGCTCATTTTTATAATGATACTTGCTCGAACAGCTTAATAAACAGTTGAATATTTGGTAAAAATTTATATTTCATTCAATGATTAGATAAATTATCTGTAGAAAGATATAAAATTATTGAATGAAAGTCTTCTTTGTTTTGTCGATTGGACCCCGCGATAGGAGGCGAACAAAGTTGCATTTTTCTTGAACGAAAAACATGCGATAGTTGGTTAATAATAACCGAATTGTTAAAGATTTGCAAAGCTAAATAAAGGACGAATATTTGTTGTAATATGCTCTTCGTGTTATATTTCCTCCAGCATTAATTAATAGATAATTACTGAGGCACGCAGCATTCGTAGGTATAATGCAGGCAGCTGAGGGCGTAGCCTCAGCTGCCTGCATTATACCTACCAATGCTGCGTGCCGAAGAGATTATCTAGTATAATTATTGTTCTTATCAAAATCCAATTGTTTTCTTTCTAGCTTGTTTATCATAGAAACAAAGCCAATAATGAATGAACTAAATATGTCTGATTTTCCTCTATGCATTCGTTGATATTATGCAGACTGAAAACAATGGACTTTGATAAGATCAGTAATTATAATAAATTAAGCTTATCAATAAGAATATAAAAAGTTTTGAGAGAAAGTCTTTGATTTGTCGATTCGTCGAAAAAAATGCTTGTCAAAAAAAAAATAAATATATATATATATATATGATTGTTTGCTAAAAAAACACACACCTGAATTCTTGAAGAACACTTCTTGATCCTTCTTTGACTACATGAAAGTTTTTTTTTAATTGTTTTTGGTCTATAACTTGTCCTAAAGCGATTTTTTCTATGCATTTGAAAGCCGCATTCCCGTGTCGTGTACTCGGACGGACGGAAGTGACGTCAGCCAAGCCATGAAAAATCAACTGGATGGTTTACCGCGCGGGAGCTCCGCTATGAAAAATACCGCGGAAATCCATCCTAGWTCTAATATCCAAGGTCTTTTTGAATAACAAATTTGTCTATAGTTAGTGACATTTGAGTGTTCCTTCAAATGGTGCCTTTTATCTGTTTACCAACGTGAAAATACTTTAATATGAAAGAGATATATATATTATTTATATAGGACTATAGTGAACTCTTAAGTCCACTTTATGTTTATTTCTAAAGCAGCGCGTCATACTGCAATAATATTACAATAATATTAAACTTTTTATTGAAGTCTGATGATAATCATTATGTGTACAAGACTAAGAATTCCTGCTGTTAAGATGTTTTTCATTGATGTTTATACTTTAGTTTTATCAGTGTGTGCCATATGACGTTGAGTATTGTTCTTCAAAAAGCACCTCGCTATTTGTTTCAGCTCAAAGCGGAGTTCTATATTTGCAAGTTTCTCTAAACTTCTATCCTTGAGGTGCCTGAGTACTGACTCTAGAAGAAATCATTAGAAAACTTTCTTTGAAAGCTGCTTTATACAGAATTTAACGCTAATTCAAAATAAAGAAAGAAAAGTAGGTTGTCACGATCTCTTTCAAGATACCGAATTTGAGTATTACCATCTCAGTTGACAAGTTTTCCATAGAAAAATAGCGAAAACCAAGATTCTTGCAAGACAGTCATAACTTGAAAACTAAAAAAGCTATACTGAGATAAAGTTGTTTGTTACATTTTTCACTAGCTGAAAGAAAAACTCAGATTCCCTGATAAGGACTTTTTTCATAGTTTCCTTTTTCAGTTTCCTTTTCAGCTAGAGACAAATTTAGAATTATTCTAAACTTTCTTCCAAGCTTACAAACCATCGTAAAAATACTGGACGAGGTACGTAAGGTCGAGGTATTTATAAGGTTTTGTGTGGAGCTCGAGAGTGAAGTTTTTAATATTTAATGTCTCATTTACAAGTGGTATTTGAATATTGATAACTTGAAACCGTAGCGTTGGAAACGAAAATAGGAAAAGATATAACATTCCAGAAGCTACAAAATAAACGACTAAAAGGGGGAGAAATGAGTCCTGCTGAGCCAAACATTATTAATTGGTATATTCACTAACAATTTTTTGATTTCATTGCCATACGCATTGAAAATAATGGATAATAAGGCGGTCTTCTGTTATATCATTAGTTTGGGTCATGTGAAGTGCTGAAGCTGCAAATTTAAAGTCTACGAAAGTCGTTATACTCTCCAAGAGCTGAAATAATGTTTTAATAATGAATGAATCATTTCTTTTCGGCTGTAACTTCCCGCTTTAAAACAATTTAATGAATATTGATTACGACTGAATCACGTACACTGTTGGTTTAAAAATAGAAACAGCTCACCAGAAGATTCAAATCCATATTATCGCTGCCGGTAATTTCTGAGCTGCTCAATCCTTTCTAGACGTACTTCGGTTTCCCATTTTTCTAAAAGATGAACTTCCAGAACCGATGTACACTTGCGGCCTTTCTGTTGGTTTTACCTGGCTTTTGTGTCTTGGAGGATATAAGACGTTAGTAATATTAGTATATTTCCTTATAAGTTTCATCTGCGCGTCTTGTCAAGAAATTCGTGGCTGCATATTAGCTCTGCCTTACCTGAGACTACTATCGATTCCATATCCTGACGTTTAGTATGTTTTTAAAATCGATATATTACATATTTTTACTTCAACCTATATATTGGATTCAGCTTATTTTGATAAATTCTATATCAATAGTAAGAGCCCTTATGTTTTTTATATATTCCATTTTATAGACATGTCACGTCACGTCATAGGTCATGTGTCAACACCACATTCTGTTGAGTTTGCTATATTCTACAAACCTACAAAGTTTCATGAATGTTGACCATTTAGTTCCTTTGTTACTGACAAGTTTCCATAAGTATTGATCATGATATGCATGATGTTCTATATCTTATACTATATCATTTATGCTACAGATTTAATATGGGAGCAATGCACAGATGATCTTTTTGAGACAGAAGTAAATGGAATGGTTCTACTCAACCATTCGTTCCGCTTGCTTAAAGCAGAAATGCCGATTCTTTGTTTATTTGTTTGTAAATCGAACAAAGACTGTGTTTCGTTCAATATTGCTCCTTCCAATGAAACCGAAGGATGGTTTTCTTGTGAGCTGAATCAGGCCGACAGATATAGTTCCCCACAAGATTTCCAAGAAAGAAAAGGATTCTCGTACAGAGGAATAAAGGTTAGTTACAACTGGTCATTTTTGTATTGCATGCTAAGATTTCACAACTACCTGAGCTCTAACCTCATCGCTTGGTTGGTGCGCTACACCGAAAAGCTGATCCTTACACAAATGTTCGAGATTTCATTGAAAAAAGATGATTGTTCATATGCTTATATGTCGTCGCATATCAAAAACAAAAACAAAAAAATAAGCAAAAAATAAAATCGTTTTTAACTCATTCAAAACTTAGTGCGAGCCAAAGCTAAGTCTTTTATCATGTATATAGTATACACTTATTTCAATAAAGTTAGTCACCTGAAAAGCTATAAATCTGAGGCCGACGAGGATTATGGGTAGATTTATTTTACACGTTCAATCGCTTGATAACTTTTTATGGACTTACGAATCTTTTACCGGTTACAGTCTCAACTCTTCTGAGCATCATCGAGCTGCAGTAAATAAATAAAGCTTTGTATATTTATGCTTTTTTGATCTGAAAAGTTTCCCATGATGCTCAGTGATCTCAGCTTTCTAGGTTTTTAGTGACTAACTTTATTGAAATAAGTGTATATTACCACGAACAATCCTGGAAATTCCTTCTTTCGGTTTTCACGATGCATTTTACTAGTAGAATGGCTTTGTCAGTTCGTATTGATAAAATGATACTTTTTTGTCGATAGAATCCATGTTTGAATAATGGTCTCTGCGAAGGAAACAAGACTTGCACACGGCTAGGGTACGACCTAACGAACTACACTTGTCTCTGCCCAAATGGATATTTTGGCCAGAACTGTGAAAAGGGTAAGGAATAATCTATATTAGAAGTATTTTTATATATCCATGGAATTCAAACGTTCATCAATCAATGCATTTCTCCTTCTCTCATTCCGTTAATTCAAAAGACCCATTTCACCTGACCAAGCACCCTTCACTCTGTACACCCATCCATCCATCCATCCATCCATCCATCCACCCATCCACCCATCTACCCATCCATCCACCCATCTACCCATCCATCCACCTATACCCAAC